ACTGACCATTTCAGTTCTTCACCATTTCAAGATACGTCAGTCAAGATAACTGACCATTTCAGTTTTTGACCATATCTTGATATCTTGACCATTTCAAGATTGTCAGTTAAGAGAACTGACCATTTTCAGATACAAAACAGGACCAGGAGTGAACTCCACTGCCCTAGAGGCCTTGCATCCCAGCACTGAAAAGCCCAGCCTTGATTAGCAGCTTCTAAGATGTGCCCAGAGCAGTTTGGGAGATGCCAATGTAGAGTCAAAAAGGCCATGGAGTTTAATATCAGATTATTCAACAAAAAAGCTATGGTCACTGATTCAAAAGCACAGCCTTCTTGAAAAGTGTGATGGTGAAATCTAACAATGTTGTCAGTTCTTGAAAAAAAACTAATGGAGCGTTCTCAGCTTTGTATTTTGTCTTCTGGTTGAAATCTCCAATATCTTTATTTTGTTTTTCCACAGTATGATGTGACTAACGTGTTAGGAATTTGCCCTTGAAGTACTACCGTATGTTACAACAGACAGCTAGGCCAGGGACATAAATTAACCCAAGCACTGCTTATCTCTTGTACTCCTGACAAACTAGGAAAAATAGCTCCAAAAGGCAAGACAACAGACAGCTTATTTGCAGTTGTCTTTTGTCCAAGAGCAAAACTAATGGCTCTCAATTAGGAATACCTCTATTGGTTAGAGAAAAGTGAAATAGTTTTGATTCACTCATTTTAAATGGTAGGTTAAACTCTAACAGGGGAAAAGGTAATGACTAGGGCAGAATACGTTGAGTGGCAATTCCTTTTCCTGGAATTGTGCTCCAGGACAAAGCTATTGGATTTCATTTACAGTATGAACATCTTTACCGATCAGAAAAATGTGAAACTTGGAAATGGGAAAGCCTTCGGAAGTCTTAGAGCTATAGTGAACAGGGTGGCGATATTTTTTATGACTGGGAACGTTGAAAATATTTCCGTTGGCAAAATGCAATTCAACCTGTCTTATTATGAAATTCAGTGTCACTTTCTCAGGTAATTATGTTTTTTTTTAAGGAAAAATATACAGAAAAGTATATAAATGGCACGGTTTAAGAAAATACTAAAAGCTGCCCAGTTACTGCCCACGTTCAGTGATTTTCCAGTTCCAGCTGTGACGCAGCTACCAGCTCGAACCTCTTCAATGCCATTAAACGATATACTGTACGACACGGAGAGAAGTGTCTGGAAAATATCTGAGTCTCTTGTCTCAGTCTCTTGAGGGAAGGGGAGAATACTGGTCCATTTCTGAAAAACAGTTAAGCCACATGCTATTGTTCCAAATATGTCTTTTAAGCAGAATGAATACTTTAAATCTTTTTGTTGGTTTCCTTCCTCAAAACACAAATTTAAGACCCTGGAATTATTCTTTTGTTACGAATGTAAACAACTTGCAAAAATGTTTAGAAACATCTGGAGCCCGGACAGTAAATGAGTAATGTTAATGTGGGATAAATGATTTCAAAGGTGCTAAAGAATTTTAAGCCGCATACTGTATCCAGCAATACAGTCAACAAATCAGCCTTGAAGTTGTCTAGGACTTACATTTGTATTTATTGTCTGGCTAGTTTATCAATGTCTTATCTGAAAATCCTTGGAAGACAGAATTGTACTAAACTGAAAAAATACCATAAATTAAACATACAACAAAGATTTTCATATGTTCCCAGATCTTGACAGTCTGAATTTATATGCATGCAAATGGAATTTTCCCATTCATTTTGGGCAGCATCAGTTTAAGCAAAACTAAATACTAATGTGTTTTTAAGAGATATTTCATGAGCCCAGATAATTTGAAGGGAATTCATGTTCCACTACACAGGACATTAATCCATGGTTTAGATTGTGCAATATACTTTTCTACCGTATTGGAACTTTGCATCTATGTTTTCTCTACCTGTACTTACTATACGTATAATGATCCCTTTTCTGGGGACTGGAATTTATTAATATTTGAGAATCTTCGGCAATTTGTTCCAAATAACTTTAATAAACTACAAACCGCTTAGCGTATCAAATGACGTTTCCGTTTTCAAATTTCTCTCGTGGGCAGAGACGCCATCTAGTGGCCTGAAGTACATTCTGCCATAAATCGGATCCTGAGGTTTTAAAAATTTCTATTCAAATTTCATTTTTCACATTGTACAGTATATGCTGTATAAATAAACATCCTTCCACCCACGATTACCAGTCATTTTATATTTTGAAATTCACAGTACGTATGTCGTAGTAATAACATTAAAGCATATGACATTTCACAAAAGGTATCTTTAGCATGTTTGAATAATGACGGTGTGAAAATATAAGGCATTTTATGAAGTTTATGAAGTGGCACATTTTCATAAAGTGAGCACTTAGTCATCTCAACTTAAATCAAAATCTGTCCACCGAAACTTCGTCAGTTCCTTTTGTTTCCTGCAATTACTTCTGTTTACAGCACTGGACAGAGTATAATTGGTATTTTTGAGGTGCAACAGCTAAAGATTATGGGGAAAGGGCGTAACCTATTCTTTAGACAGAATGAGTCACCCATTTTGGGAAAGTAGCTGTCCTGAACGGCTCAGTGCAACTGTGACCCACACCCGCCTGAGCTGTCATTTAAAATGTAGTTTCTCGTTAAAAACAATCCGCTTACTGCATTTTCAGCTCCTCTGTGATGTAAAATAAATTACACAGTAATATTCTGTTGTATTAAGAGCCGTAACAGCTGACATGGGAAATATATGCTTGAATCTCCTGCTGTGCTTATTTGTGCAATTCCCACAGAAAGGCGCGCAGCACCATGTTGTGGTAGTAGATGGTTACTTTTGCTCGTCTACTTTTACACTTTACAGGAAAACAGCAATATCCACCAAACAAGGCAACCTGCCATTGAGCCTTATTAATTTAAATTCTTTAGCTGGAACAAATTAACGGGTTGATGACTTTTCCATTTAACTGTTCAAGAATTTTAAGTGCTTCTCTACGTGTAACAGATAAAGCAGCCTAATAGGTTTATAAGAAAGGAGTTTATGATACAAAATAGAATGAAACCTGGAAAACAACGCTATCGTTGTGAAAATAATAAATAAAGTACCTCTAAGAGTGCACTACAGTTGTAAAAGAAACTCCGGCTTAACTAATGACGTTCTTATTCGGAAGAATAAAGAAGTTGTACGTCCATGAAGGGTTTAGACTTATTTCTACAATGCTATAAATAGCATTATGTAAAGTCTGAGTAGAGTCAATGTTTGTGACGACCACCGCATCTCAGTACAGAATTGAAATGCCTGAAGCTGTTCGGGATCTTTCACCGATTTCATCTATAAATCTCTATCAGAATAAACCTGATTATTCTGACATATGAAGCCGCTTCATTTAATGATTTATAATCAATTTTAATTTTGCACCAAACCGTCAAACCTTTTGTGCCCTTACACGTATATAAATACATACAGTACACATGTTATACGCCTCAAAGCGGTGAACGAAGGGGGACATCGAGTCATGCTATTGGCGACAACACTTTTTCCAACTCAAGCAGACAGACGACAATTCAGGCATAAAAACGCTGTAATGTCTTTTAACTCTATGCGTAAAATGGTAGAATCCTGTAGTCACTGATTCGTGTTCTTAAACGCTAAAGATATTTGTCGCACGAATAAAGTCTTATGAAGGAAAAAAGGCATTGTTTTTAAAGTCTTGATAAAATACACAGGGAGATGACAATTTGCTCTTAAGAGGAGGTCCTTGTTAAAAACAAAACTTGGCCACATTCTCATATTTTTTGTGTTTGGTGCTACTTAATTGTAATACCTTAAAGTAAGTGCAATTAGGTTAAGGTTGCTGCTGGAAGAGGTGATAGTGGGACCATTAAAGAGTGCTCACACTATTCTAATCCCCACCGATAGCTGATGTATGGTGAGCGTTCTGGCTCATTATGGCTGCTGTCACATCATCCAGGTGGGTGCTGCACATTGGTGGTGGTAGAGGAAGGGAGATCCCTTTACCTGTAAAGAGCTTTGAGTGGAGTGTCCAGAAAAGTGCGAAATAAGTGTAAGGATATTATTATTTTAATAACATACCCCCCTTTAAATTTTAATTCGTACTCATTGCATCTTCTTTATATCCCAACAGAAAAACCTATCATCCTTAGTATAAAATGACTATCATTTCAATTTTTCATTCATATACCCTACATACACCTCTGTTCTGTTGAAAGAATTTGGTGGGATTCCTTATGTAAGCATTGGCAAAAATAAATGGAAGGCCATAACTATATACAAGTTAGTAAAATGTCTGACAGAAATGCCATAAACACTACTCATTGGATTAATCAGCAAACTATCATGTTACCTGAAAAGCTGCTTAGATTTCCTAATTTAGCACAGTGTAAGTTTAAGAGCCAAAGTCAAGTTTAACATATGATGAAAATAAAAACAAAAATGCACACTGAGACTAAAACCTTATATTCCCCATGCGTTTAAAGCAGCTATAAAGACAAAGCTATATTTATCTAAGCCTATTTAAGTCTGCTGACAATCCTCAGGGAATAAGTTAAGATTAATTCCACCTTAGTTTCACTGAGAAATGTAGAACAAAGTCTCAGTTTCTGATCCTGGCCACTTTTCAGTGTGGAAGTACCCTTTATTTGCTCCTTGGTAGCCAACATACACCAATGCAGCTCCCCATGTGCTGCAAAGGAAGTTTAAAGATGTAGTCAGGTATACACAACCAGGGAATATTTTCTATGTTTTAGAAATTAGAATGGTGATGTGTGAATCACTGTAATTTCAAAGTTTTGCTTGACATAAAACAACAAAAAAACAATTAGCTTCAAACATGGAACCAGCAGAAAACTCCTCTTACTTAAAAACACAAGATCTGTTAAACAATTAATACACTGAGTTTGAAAATAAAAATGTGAAAAAACTTTAATTTCACAAGGTTTTAAAAGGATCTGTTTTATACCGAGAGACATTAAAAACACCATACATAAATTACTACCAAAACCTGTGGTTTCTGTTGTTTTTAATGCCTTTCAATATATTAAACATCATCACTTTCATCATTACAGTGATAATAAAATATTCCTTAAAAGGAACAGACAAAAAAGGAAATGAAAAATCTTAGCTGTTAACCATAAAGTTGAATAGAGCAGTATCTGCAATACCTCCCAAAGAACAATAATTCTTGAACCTTCATTGTTACAAATAGGTTTATTTGTTTACAACAACAAAAAACTTTCTACTAAAAAAAATGGAGGAAGGCAATCATATAATACTTCATATTTCTTCTAGCCAATTAAGTGAAAGCTACTAGGCATTCGACACCAAAATGTTTTTCAGTGAGTTGCTAGAGGAGTAATGAGTGCTGCACTTTTAGCCTTTGTTAACATTGATGTTGCAAAAATCTTCTGTTCATCATTGGCACATTTTTTTACAACTATGGCCAACACAATATATCTTTGCATACATAATAATAATTTGTCTTTTGGCATTTCCATTCAATACATTTTCAATTTACACATGTTCACATTCAAAGAAAACCACTTCTTTTTTACATGAAGTCATCAGAATCATATCCATCCTGCAGAAAATAAAAAAAAACAGACATTTAAGGCCTGGTTAAAGAACTCACAAAACCTAAACAGAGATATCCACTTTTTAACGACAACTATTTAAAATCCAACAAAGCTAACTAAGATGTCAATATATAGCAGGGAATAAAACCATAAAACTGATACTTTAACTGTTCTCTGACATTCATCTGATACTAAGAGATAAAAGTGGAATGGATGGCAGTTTCAGTGTATTATCTATTAGGTAGACCTCTTGACATCTAAAGGCATCTAAAAGAGACATTAATGAGCCTAACCTGAGCGGAGAAATAACGTTTTAACATGATCAAGCTGGTGCTTCAATTCTTTCTGAGTGGATTGTCATGCGGTTATAAATGTTTGTCTACAACAAACACCTTACCTGTACTTTGTTTAGAATAAAAAGTGAACATATTTTTGAAAAGAAAACTTAATTGGAAAATAATCAAACACTATTAAACCTCTTCAACCAAACATAAGGTTCTTCAATATATCCAAATGTGTAACATTAATTCCCACAAATACCTGATAGGCCCTTACACAGATAATACATACCTCATTTGTAGTCATATTGTCTGATTTCATCAGAGATGAGTAACTCCTGAAAAACAAAGCAGTAAAATATTTAATCATCATTGATAAAATCATTTGAACCAAGCCACAAACAATTGTGCAGGGTTTAAGAACTGATTTGAGGAGATGGTTCCATAGAACACTATGATTCAAGTCAGGGTGTAAAACCAAGGTTTATGATTATGAAATAAAAAGGCAAAGAGAAAATTGATATTTGTGGCATTGGGGTGCTTATGTGATGATGCGTATAATACTACTCCCATTTAATTTTTCTGAATTAAAAACAATATAAAGTATTTGCAATTAAAACAATTTAAAGACTGATCATATTTTTCAAAACGTGTAAATATTATTCCCTTCTAGAAAGGTTCTGCACATTGTCCCGTTGATAGGAAAATTAGAAGGTAGTCTACATTTTTTAGCATTTAATATATAAAGCAGCAATTTGAATACAAGGAGTAAATGGACAATGTGGCACATCTTATGAGTTTATTAGGAGTATTACTGTAAAGTACTTGACTGTGACAACCGAATAGTACTTTGCTATGACAGAGAAACACTGAGAAAGTTAAGATCCTAAATTATGCAGAGGGTTTTTCACCATTTTGAATATTACAAATTCTTTATGGTGTAAAAAAGCCCTTCTCTTTCACCTGAGTTCTTCCAGTTCCTTTTTCCTCTTCACCTCCTCCTTCTCTTTCCTCTTCATCTCCTGAATCTGCGCTTTCTTCTCATTCCTCTCCTCTCTATCTCGGGCCTCCTTCTCCGCTGCTAGATCAGGGAAACGCTCCTCTTTTGTTTTTTCCAACCGGTTAACAACTTCATTAATTTTCTTCTCTACGGCAATGATCTTCACCTGCAAACAAATATTGTGTATTCACATCTGACAGAAAAGTTCATTTGACTGTACATGGAGAAACGAAAAAATAAACTTTCACTAGGCAGAAACCCAGGCCTGCCAGAATTCTGCCAAAAAAGTTTTCTTTCAAAAAAAAACTTTCAAAAATGTTTTCCCAGCACTGTACAGGGGCAATGAAAAGTATTCACCCCCCATGGACTTTTTCACACGTGACTATTTCAATATAGATTCACAATGTATTTATTACATTACATATCCCCAAAGCACAGTAAAGTCCATTATAAAGAAATGTTGAAAATATGGCACAACTGTGAAACTGTGGTGAACAGAGTGTCCTCAAAAACTGAGTATCCAGGTGTGAAGAGCACTAGACTGGGAGGCCACCAAGAGGCCTGGGACAACTCTAAAGGAATTAGTTTTCCATGGAAAAACCGTGCATATGACAATTGTCTGGGTGCTTCCCAAATTTGTGTTTCATGGGAGAGTGACAAAAAAATGCATCAAATCTTGACTACACTTTGCATGTGGGAGACTCCAAGACCAAGTAGAAGAAGATTCTATGGTCTGTCGAGACCATGGTGGTATGGTATTCCAGCATCATACCACTGGAATGCTTTGCTGCATCAGGGCCTGGAAGACTTGTGAAGATAGAAGGAAAAATGGATGCAGGAAAGACAGGGGATTTGGGAGAAGATTCATCTTCCTTTAGGATAATGTCCCAATACATACAACCAAAGCCACACTGGAGTGGCTTAAAAAGAAAAAAATGTCAATGTCCTTGAGTGTCCCAGTTAAAGCCCAGATCTCAGTCCAATCAAGAATTACTGTTCACCAACTTTTCCCATTCCGATGGAAGTTTGAGCAAATTTGTGCAGAAGAATGGGCAAAGATTGCAGTGTCCAAATGTGCAAAGCTGGTAGAAATAGATCCAAGAAGACTCATGGCTGTAATTTCTGCCAAACGTGCCTCGTGTAAATACTGAACTAAAGGGGGTGAATACTTCTGGAATCAGTTATTTTTGTTTTTTATTTATCATTATTTTAAGAGGATCTGTGGAATTGTGTTTTCACTTTAATTTATTAAACTAGTTTATTTAATAGCTTGCAGCAATGTTACAGGACTAAATGTTTATTCTATTTTTAAACAAGCAAAGCTTAGCACAATAAGTCGTCATTATGTCAACTTGTCGTCAGGCATGCATGACATACAACAACATAGAAACAAGGCTCCACGGCCGAAATGTTGTGTTTTCTTTCTTCTCTTTTCAGCATGGAATAAACCTATTACATGTTCCTTATTAGAAACAAATACATCAAGGTATGAAATGTACTGTAAAGTTTCATAGATTAAGTATCAAATGAAGACAGCTTCCATACATCCTCCAAAACAAGCAGTGAAAAAATTATCATTGCATTTTGTTAGGTGCACCCAACAAACACAATTCATCCAAGACAAATTTAAAAGAACATTCATTTTACTATGCATTACCTGAAAAAATCTAAATCTCAGATGTAGAAACAAAACATTTTTTACTCATAGAGGTTTCTCTAGTAAGAAACATTAAGTACTAAGATACAGCAACAGTGACGCATCATTTATCACATTTATGCAGGGTTCAGACTTCAATAAAATGACAAATACTATCTTAAAGGGCAACTCCAAGAGCAGCTTTTTTCAGACAAAGGAACAAGTAATAGGTTTATTCCATGCTGAAAAGAGAAGAAAGAAAACACAATGTGTTTTCTTGAACAATATCAGGCCCTCACACCTGAAGAAGGCTCCATGGCCAAATGTTGTGTTTTCTTTCTTCTCTTTTTTGCATAGAATAAACCTATTACATGTTCCTCTGCAGCTGACGCAGCTATCCACCTGAACTTTCTTCAGACAATGCAATTGTAACAGTGTTTTATCACTTGATAAGACTAGGACAATGTAGTGACAAAAGTTGAGTACTTGCCTCTTTCTGTCTATGAAAGCCTATTTGGCCTACGTCCATATCCCCAGTTTTCTTCAGATTGGCCCATGGTGTATAGACAACATTGATATTGTTCATTTTACACCCTGGCAAAGGAAGAAAACAAATGTCTTTCTTTTCTGGCCAGGTATACCAATGAAGAGATTCATAAGCTTTACATAACTCTTCACATTTCTCATGCAAAAATGTAGGATGAGCCAAAACACATGATAAAACCAAAGCATTTCTGTTAATGAAACCTCACACAAATTTCACAGTTGTGGAAAGAGCAGAAATATCCTAGAGTGCAGGAATAATTAGAAAAAGGTTGAATTCAAAAACAAATCTTGCAGAAACACAGAAATAAAAGACTTGGAAGCCCAATGCTTGGGGGTTTTGTTCAACATTAATAAAATGATCAGTCTTTCAATAAAAACGATGGAAATATTAATACTTTAAATACTCATTTTAGCATGTCTTTAAAAAAAAGCAAATGGACAAATATTTTTCTTTTTGTAATTCCAAATTTATATAACAGATCAGCTCACTCTTTCCACCCTTATGCCATACAGCACCTACAGCACATCAGACTGAGGACTCGGGACCACTGTTACTAATAACGCTGCTGGCCCAGGGGCTATGCACCAGGACAAGGTCACCCTGGTTAAATTGCAAGACTACAAATCCCTAACCACACTTAAACACTGCACACGGTCCCTTAGAAGCACTATGTGTATGGTTAAGAATAGATTAAAAGACTTTATAAACATGTCAATCTATTCCAAGAGAATCATCAAGCATGTTATTTAAAATGAAAACATCCCACTACAGTACCTCTTGCTCGAAAGATGAAGCATTACCTTGAATGCTGTTGTTTTTTACAAGCTGTGCACAGTCTATGAGGACTTCTTTTGGTATGTCTTCTATTGTGAGTCCCTGAAATAAAATATATACCTCAGGTATTGTCAACATTTTCACAAGTGCTTTATAACCACTTGACTAAAATGCATTAAAAAATGGCCATATTCATTCATGTATTCGTATTTCTAATTTTTGAGATTCCTCATTTACAAAGGTAGTTACCAATTCACTCTTAACAGTGTTCAGATGACTTTTTGATTAGTGAATACTGATTGTGCTTTAGTGAGCACACAAACCGACTTCAAAATCCACTTTCTATAAGGTGCCTGAGAGCAGATGCACACATTGTACCTGGAGATTTATCACTAAATCATCAACTTTTAAATATGTCAATCATAATCATAAACTTTGGATTATGTGACCAATTAAGGAGGTGATATGTTAAATTATGCAATTTAAAGATTCTGGACCATAATCAGAGTATCCTTCAGTAAGAAGGGAATAAAGTTCTATTCACTGCACAGATTACTTCCTTCATTCACCAATTACATATAGATGTTGTGTTGTAAATCTTTAGAATTTTCCTTTCCAGGATGAAGCAGGGGTTGTTGTTGTTTCAATAAAAACTATAAGAGACAACCTTACCCTGGCATCACTGAGCCCACTGTGCTCCATAGCTTGGGGAACAGTGGTCACAGTCAGTCTCAACCTTTGATATCTGGATCACAGAACTCATCCTGAACTCTTGGCAAGTGCCTTTGCTGGCTAAACCAGTCCAGAATCCCCTAGAACAAACTAAGCCAAACAATAATGGCTTACCTTAGGCATCCTCAAGTACACATGAGCAGAGGAAAGTTTATCCACATGAAACCTGCAGTCAAGTGAGAAAATAGCTTTAATATCATACTGTAATTTATTTTAACATGTCTTATACAAATAAGGTTAAAAAAACAGTAACAAAAAGCTCATTATTAGTGAAAGCATAATCTACACACACCCCTTGAGAACATTCTGTAATCCACAGCTTCACATGTAGGATATTTTAATTATTTAAGACTTCATAGTAATGAATGAGATCCCTAGCTTTATGTTTTGCCCTCCTAAAGAGAAGAAAAAAAACACGTTTCAGCCGTGGAGCCTTCTTCAGGTGTCAGACGGCCAAATCATATTTTTTTATTCTCTTTTCTGCATGGAATAAACCTATTACTTGTTCCTTTGCAGCCCACGCATGCTGACACAGCTACCCAAATGAAATATTTAATTTAAGTTTTGTTTCCTAACTCCCAATCTAGAAATACCAATTTTTAACCAAATTGGTTAACCAGAACAAGCCTGTACCATGAGATGAAGCACATAGAGTAACAATTCACACGAGTACTGTCAAGCTCCTCTGTTCAACATGCAAGTCCACAAAACCTACAGCACTTAAAAAAACTACAGCATTCTTAAAGCTCAAACCTGGCCTTCTTCGAACCCACCAGATACAAGTAGTACTGAACCAATTATATGCTAACTCTAAGGTCATGAAACATAGCTGAGATCTCCGACAGGACGAAAGAGGGCCAACTCAAACCAATTTGTTTACAGCTTAAGTCACAACCTTTCCAGACAACCCTGTATGTTGTTCCTAATGTTGAAACATCATTAAATGTTCAGAGTCACCTAGTGGACATACAGTGGCATTAATCATCCACTCCATGAAGCATGTTTTTGTAATGTAGTTTTCTCAGAGTGCCTGCCCTTAAAAGACAGTATTATGAAGTCTGTACTGTGTTATACATATTGTGTAATATATATTATAGTGAAGTGAACCCTTCTAAAGAAATTTACACACATCAGGAGTTAAATGGATAGTGTGAGATTACTGGTTAATGAAAACAAACAAATGACCACTGAAAAATATTATAGGATGTTGGTATCCTATACAGCACATAACACAATTAATGTTTGTGATTTTAGGGTGCAGTATCTCTCCACAAAACAAGACATGAAATCCTACACATGTGAATGTATGAGAGATTTTATCAAAGCATAACTTTTTTGCAGGTTTTGACTATGGACAACATTCAAATCCCACACTCAAATGTTGTTGTTTTTTTGTTCCACAAAATGGAAAGCGTCAAAGCTTAAGGTTTCAGAATATTCCCAAAAACACTGATAATGCATCATAGTAAAAAAAAGGCATTCCAAATAACCATTATGCACAAAAAGAACATCATTCTCAAGTAGCAAGGCCAATAAGGTAAGTGCTTTCAAGAATTGTGGGTACTTTGTATGTGATACAGGTAGGTGATACTTTGATTAGTGGATAAGCACCACAGTAGTGCCACACCCAGTTGTAACTTTGTTAACTGTTCAGCTGATGTTTCCAAATTCAGAAGGATAATGAACATGCAGTCTTTGCCAGGGCTTAAGGCTTACATTTTCTTTGATGGTATGAATAGAAGTCAGCTTCACATTTCCATTGTCTGCAGGTAATATTTAGAAATCACCCAGGTCTTCCAAATAATAACACAATAACACTGACACAGTAAAGTGAACCAACCATGCACTTAGGAACAAGTAATAGGTTTATTCCATGCTGAAAAGAGAAGAAAGAAAACACAACGTTTCGGCCGTCAGACACCTGAAGAAGGCTCCATGGCCAAAACGTGTTTTCTTTCTTCTCTTTTCAGCATGGAATAAACCTATTACTTGTTCCTTTGCAGCCTACGCATGCTGACACAGCTACCCACCTGAACTACTACAACCATGCACTTATCTTTTTATTACATTATTTTAACTGTTCTTTCTGCTCAACAGCTTCTCGTAATATCTGCCTAATGTTAAGAGATCATTTATTATTATTTATCCCTGTGGCATGGCAAAACAATATTCACACTCTCTGACCAGACCCAGGTGTGTGAGGAAAAACAGTTAAACTTTCAGTACAAAGTGTCTCACCAAATGTCTTCAGGCCATCCATATTTAATGAGGTCTTCATCTGCCAGAGAATTAGAAAGAAATTATCAAGACTGATCAAGATCAATTATCAGTGATTAAAACTGAAAGTCAACTAATGATGATGTAGGTATTGTATAACTGCGCTATCACATGATTATCACAAAGTACGAAATAATTTACTATCTCGTAACAACGACTGATGTACTATGCCGTAATAATGAGACCACTTTCACGTAATTATGACAAACACGATTTTTTTACATGATGGTAGCAATGCGTTTCCGTTTAAAACAGTACTTACTTTCATATTTATCCTTTCCCATATATATGGTATAAGGAGGTGTGACAACTACAATGAAGAACAGAGAGTACACGTTAAAAGGGAAACATTCCAGGTTAGCTGCAGGTTCTTATAAAGGTCAATGGACTTTGTAAACAACGCCCGAGTTCTTTTATGTTATCTAATTCCCCATTCACTGACGACTTTAAAACATTGATTTTTCTGCTTCATCATTACATTTGTATCCAAATAAATATATCATACTGCTTAACAGAATTTTACTCGCCCATTTTCAGTCACCCGTAACCACTGTTAAAAACACAACACTTATTTTGCGTCGAAAAACATAAGAAAAAAACAAAACAATTTTCCCCAAAAACGAAAGTCTCTTATAACAAAACGAAGAGAAAACAGCTGATGATTTGGTAGTTGAAAAGGCCTACAAAACAACATTCTGTCCTAATGTTATATATATATAAAGGAATATTTCGTATATCCACAATAAAAGAAACACTTACCAGCACTAGTAAAATACAAAACCATGTCGACAATTTC